GAGAAGCAGCGGACAGATGGAGCGTTTGGGTATCGCGCTCCTGCACCATTTCTGAGGCAAGTGGGAGACAGTTGAACTTTTAAATCTTTTTTTCCCCCCTTAGTGCTGTATTAGCAGTTTCATTTGCATATTGCACAATTATGTTACGATTTACACAGCACAAAGATGGGTAGACAAAAAGTCTCCTCTAAGAGACAGAAAGTGATAATCCTTCTAATCAAGCTTCGGGTATGCTGACAATTTAAGTTAGAGGGGAAGAGAATTCTCCTTAAAGAGGCAAGATAAAAAGGTACAGAGCTTGAGAGCACATTTGTTCTGGAGAGAACCAAATTTCATGGGGCATGCACAATATGGTTGAAAGGTATTGAGGAGCAAATAATTCCTCTCTACTGATGAAGTACAGGACCCACACGAAAGAAGCTTTTAAACAACAGTTGTAGAGTTATCTATCCTTCCTGAAGGCAGTTTGTCTGGTCTGAGTTAACAGCGGCCACTTAACTGCCAGAGCAGCGCACTCATGGCAGTTGTTCACAAACATCTACAACACCTAAGCCTTTACTTCTCTGAGATCACAATCAGAAGAGAAACAAACACTAAAAGCCATCTTTTTTTAGAGTATTTCAGACAAGTGTGTTTATATTTGAGTTTGATTAAAGTTATGCCGCCTTATTCAATATACTTGGAAGGAATATTAAAGCATTGAATCAGGGTCATGTCACTTGCTCATGCAGAACCCAAGATACTGCTTTTGCAATGCCAACAGAACTATGCTCCAGAAATCAACACTGAATGGCAAAGAACACAGCCCTGTCTTATAAAAGACAATAAAACCAAATGCTGTGGGTTTAAGAACAGTAGTGCTCAATGAACATAACTTTTTGGAAAGGTTCAAGTTTTAGGAAGAGACTGCTGTTAAAATTTCCCTTATGAACTTATGGTGTCTTCAAAAGCTTGCATTATATTCTGGAATTGCAATAGCTTGAAGTTTAAAAATACCAGGACACAAAACACTCCAGGATCACATCATCTCCCTGTCAAGACCGACCGATTTCACTAGCTACGGTGGAAATTCAAGTTCACACCTCAGCCTATCGCTGTGCCCAAACCTATGTGCTTCCTGATTAAAATAAGGGCTCTGTAACACCTACCAAGACTCTTCAAGTTCAAGTAAGGTGAAGTTACAATTTCACCACATGTTTTACCATACTCCACTCTGGAAAGCTATTTTAGTCTGCCTTGAAGCAAGATGCCAACACAATTAAGGAATACTAACACTATACACCCACTGTTGTAACAATTTTCCCCTCATCCACAAATGGAACTGGCAACTGTAATATTAGACTTTCTTAAAGAAAAACTCAATGTAAAAAAGCAATGCTTTTTCCACTCTGCTAGAGCTTGACTCAAGTCTAGAAGACTTGTGACTGGAGACAAAAAGGCTTGGAAAGGAATAAAAAAAATCTTAAACCAAACCTGGACAATGGAGCCAGTGTTTGCAGCTCGCTGCTAAATAACTGGAAGACTAACAGCACCAACACAAACCTCATTTTGAAACACAGCTCACTGATGACAACAAGAGCCTAACTGAGGGATTACTGTTACCACAATACAGGAAGACAAGTTCATTCCATGGTACTAGGGTATCTTCTAGAGGGGAGAAAAATACCAGGTGTCCTACCCCAGGAATTAATGAGTTTGACATATGTTCCCAAATTGAATCATTTGCATTACATTTAACACCATACAAGATATTTGTCACTGGGAAAGCCAGAAGTTCAAGAAATAGCATTCACACACCCACTAAGCACATGGTCTGAAACAAATTCAGAAGCAATACTGCTTAACACTTCAATTAGCCAGTACAAAAAAAAAAAAGATTAATTTTCTCCATATTTTAACCTTCAAATGAGCAAAGCAACTGCTTTATTTAATTCATGCATTCAATTTGAACATTACATGCAGAGCTTGTAAGCAAAATCTGTGTTTCTTCTGAACTCTCAAGTATTAAGATATCCTTTTGTAGAGAAACTTAGCTACTCTTTCTCTAGAAGCACGAGTTTTCAGACACTCAGCATGCAAAAGGACAGCTTACCAACAACATGAAGTTCTATGGGTGCATTTATTTATTTAACAGGTAAGCTGGGAACTAGCAAAATATAATAAGCTATTCAGACCCTTTATACACCCATGCAGCACAATACATACCCCTTCTTGCTTTGTGAATAGGTTGAGGCAGTCAGCCAGGGCCTCACACATTTCCTGGGATACTTCAGAGACCACACCAACTTTTTGCAGGAGGGGAGAAGATAATCCTGAAAGCACAAAAGATTAGTAGCAGTAGGGGGACACTGTAAACCACAGGATTCTTTCTATTACTTTTTCCTCTAAGTAATATAGACATAGTATTCATATTCTACAGGAAGGCTGGTACACTTCAAGATCAGCACAAAGAGAGGGCAAGCAAAAGTAGCACTGAAGCAACATAAGTTCTTTCTTTTGCATCCTTTCCCTAGTACTGGTATAAATGGCACATGAAAGTTTCTCTTTCAGCACAGCTTAGAAAGCAGAGGTAGTAAGCTCTGGCAGCAAGACACTGGAAAAGTGACTAGCAATGATCTCCTTTTAACCACTTTCTAGATTTAAAATCCTCATAGTTGCTGGGTGATAGAATTCAAATACAAAGGATACTGCACTGGTTTAATACAAGTTGAAGTGAGAAATGCAGGGTTTTTGCCTTCTGCCATGGTATTATATAGAATAGAAAAAGCTTACCACAATGCAGCTGGAGATTTAGGTTTGAAAACAGATGGGGAGTTACAAGGACACTGATCAATAAAAACGGAAGGAGATCTTATTTTAATGGACTCATCTTCTGGATTAGTACAGCTTGCAGAGCACTGCCACCTCTCATCCTGACTTCTATGACCCTTTATAGAAGGGACTACATGTCTGCAACCAGCAGGAAACCATGATAACCCAATCAGATGGTAGAAATTATTTAAATATTTGAGCTCATGTTTGAAGTTTTGTGATGTGCTGCAGTTCCTCACAAGTCAAGCAAGCCATTCTCTCAGGAAGCATACTTGTTGCAATTAAAATAAGTGTTCATTCAGTGGCTGCAGACTCCAGGATCAGTTGAGACCATTTAGTAACACAGGTGCTTCAAGTTGATGTCACACCAACGAAGATTAAGAGGTTCAGCCGTGAGTTCTTGAATTTTGCAACTTATACTGCTTGTGCAGGACAAGGCACAGTACATATCCACACACAAATTGTTGTTTTTGATACCAAAGCTCACTACTGACTGGAATTAGGAGTTTCTACTTAGAACAGCTAGTATCTCTAGAAGGAGGGGAAGCACACTGAGTGCAGGAGCAGGAGACATCTTTATTTGTAGTAATATGCATAAACCTCAAAGATACCTGGATTTAGAATAGCATGTTGAGACAATTGGGAAGAGAATTCTAAATATCAGGCCCCAAGACAGCCATTTTTATATCATTAAAATGCTCTTGGGAGAAGTTCCACGTGGAAGGACTTTTAACTCAGAAATTTGCATTCTTCTGGAGCCAGAGGTCTCGCATACTGCCAAAAACACCATATCAACCTGACCTGAGAACTGGGAGAGCTGCAGCAGTTTTCTCTGCTGAGATGTACAGAGGTTACACATGAACCTGGAACCAGCTCACTGAGCCATCAAGTTATATTCATTATGAGGAAAATAGGAACTTATTACTGCTATTGGCCAAGACTGGCAGTTTCTAGGAAAGATAGTATCTGTTTTTGCTTTACTATAGGTTTTGATTACTCAAGTTGTGTATTTTTTTAAAAAAAGTTAGTCCTCACTGGTTCTTCAGGTCAGCAATATGGGGTCAGAGAAACTGCCCCTACATGTGTCAAAGGGAATCTATCCACACCTTACACTCATTTTCAAACAGCTTTTCGTTAAGAATTCAGTTTTATTATATTATTGATTACAAAGGCTTCCCAATAAAACTCATATGTATTATGAAACTTCACTTTTCTTTATGAAATAAGAATTTGGTAAAAATTCATTTAGTGCAAGATAGGTTAATATCACACAGTAACCTACCCCAGTAGCACACAGAGAAAAAGTTGTACTTAGACTCCTTTTGGGAAGGCATAGGGATGGAAGAGGAAGAACTTTTTTTCCCCCAAAACTGCTACTCTGTTACAGACTATGGATTTGTAGAGATAAACACCTTGTTTTCTAGTTTCAGCATCATCAATTTTAGTCACAACATGTAACTAGGACTCAGGTTCAAAGGAGCAACAGTCAAATGTTCTTACAGAAGTCCTTTGTGGACTACATGGAGCAACTTCTGTACGTGCTTAAGGCATCAAATGAAACAAGTTCTAATCTCTTAACAACTTGATTCCTCTGCTGTTTTTGGCAGTTATGCTACAAAAAAAATCCAGGTACATGTTAATTTAAGAGTTATCACTTAAAATGAAACTAGAGAAGTTCAACTCTGGCATAACACTCATGGCAGTACTCTGTGGAACACCATCCCTCACACCATGCCTCCAGTTCCCTACAGAGTCTTGTGATTTCACTTCACAACCCAGTTATCCTGCCTCAGCTTTCACTATGTTTCTACTCACTACAAGACAGGTTTTTTTAAGGGAAAGCTAGAGTAAGACAGCTAGCTCTTTGTACCTGTAGGGGACACTTATGCTCTGCAATAAGCTACCAACTACAGATTTTTTTAAAACCTTGAAAGTGAACCCGTATGTTATATTCTTACAATACTACTCAGTAAGCACTATATCTAAAGGCTGTTTCACTACATTCTCAGTCACTAATAAAATTTCTTTCAACCAACATACTTGTTAGTGGTTTTACCAAATCAGAAGTCTTAGTTCTCAGCAATTATGTTACTTTCTCTGAATCTTTTTTCAATAAGGAAAACAGTCCTATATTTTCAAGCTCCTGAAAATTTAATCTCTGTGAAATTAAAGCATGTGCTGCTTAAATTAGTTGCCTGGTAACAAACTGCATTTTAGAAGAATAAGTTTTACCTTTTGCAGCATCCAAAGATTTAACCATTGCAAGAAAGTCTGAAATCTCTTTACTGAGTCTTTGTTGGCATGCTTGTGCTTTCTGAAAGAAAACAAGGATAGCTAGTTCAGAAGTGCCTTGTTCTAATGACCATGTATGTTTATTCTCTTAACTACACTGCAATTTTTTAATTTAGAGAGCATTAAATCTTAACAAAGATTCCCAGTGACAGAGATTGATACATTAAAACAAAGAAATTACTTTTAAGTACCATCAAAGACACACAAGCAAACAAGATTTATGTGCATTATATCACTGACCAGCTTTTGTCTTAATTAGCACAGCAAACCAAACCCCAAAGCTATGTTGTAGTACTGCTTTGGCATTTTCCCTCCTTTTTCATTTAAAAGTTTGAAAACCCAGGAAGACCCATTGCTTGTTGTTTGACAAACCTAAGGCCAAAATAAGCAAAGGCATAGGTTAACTAATGTATGGCAAGTACAGTGACATGCAGGAACCCATCCTAAGATCATATTCCAAGCTTGCATTTCAACTTGGAGACAGTTATCTATTAGATGCTACCATCATCTTCTGTAGGAAGATGGGAACTGCCAGCAACAGTTATCCTCTCATCTTCTTTCTGACGTGAGCTACTTTTGAGTTCTTGCACTAAAAGGTATGATACAAGCCACTTGGAATTCAGTCACATTAAGATGTTTGCTTAAGTGTCAACTTTCCCTTAAAGTAAAAGGTTGCAGAAGTACATGTATGGCAAAAAGCAAAAATCACAGACTGAATGCTAGAATTATCAAGGAAGACTCATTTCCATTAGAGCTCTGAACAATCACTGTAAACGCACCTAATGTGACCTGAGGTGTTAAAAGGATCATTTCTAAGACATTTCATTGCCTGTTTTATAGAGGTAGAGCCTGCTGAAGATTAGCTTTGGTATCCTCAGTCTTGGAGCCACCAAGTACAGTACACAAGGCTCCCTCTCCTGGCTGAAAGTCTCAAGCAACTTTCTACCTTGCAGTAGTTCTGTAAAACTGAAAACCAGAACCCTATAGCTAAACATACCATTTTATGCCTACAGTCCAAACAGGAATACAAGACAGTAAGCAGTGCAAATATAAGCAGCATTTATGCATCCATAGGACAAAAGAATCATTACTTTTAGATAGAAGTACACTAAAGTATTTCAACACAAAACAGTAATAATCTGCAAATGCCTAGATGCATGAACCAAGTAAGTACTCAGCACGTACTTTCAGAGTATCCTGTAGGTCTGCAACAGATACTGTATCATCATCTTCATCATCACTACTCAACTGTTCCTGTGTGCAGTAATGAGTGCTATATGCAGAGTGTTCTTCTATTGCTTCCAGCCAACTCTGAATGGAAAGAAAAACAGGGTTAATACACATTTCAAAGGTCATCCTCACAAGGCAACAGCATACATGCAAAAGAAATTAAAATTTTCTGTTGATGTTTGAATAAGATATTAATTAGTAAAATGAGACACCTTAAAAAGCAGAAAAGAAATTGTTAAAAAATTTAACGTATTGAAGATGAGATACTCTACAGTCAGAGTGCCACAGACTTAACTGATGAAACTTTAAGCACAAATGTAACCCACCCCTCAGTCTATCCAAGGTCACATAAAAAAAGTCCAATCAATAAGGACTAGGGAATGTATTTTGCATCTTTGGGTTTCTGTTCAGACAGTAAGGTCCCCATGACAAACTGCCTTCTTACACATGACAAACTCTGGGTACAAAACCTCAAGCACTCTCATACTTAAGAGGTAGAGTCTTTTCCCATTCATCAAATCAGAATGGCTGAGATTGGAAGGGACCTCTGGAGGTCCTCTGGTCCAACCTTCCTGCTCAAGCAGGGCCACCTAGAGCTGGTTGGCCAGGACCATGTCCAAACACCTTTTGTGTATTTTCAAGGATGGAGTCTCCACTGCCTCTGGGCAACCTGTGCCAGTGCTTGGTCACCCTCCCATTTTTTCTTATGTTCAGAGTGAACCTCCTGCGTTTCAGTTTGTGCCCACTGCCTCTGGTCCTGTCACCAGGCTCCACTGAAAAGCACCTGGCTCCGTCCCCCTTTGCACCCTTCCCTCAACTGTATACATACATTGACAAGATCCCCCTGAGCCTTCTCTTCTCCAGGCTGAGCAGTCCCAGCTCTCTCAGCCATTCCTAGTACTAGAGATGCTCTGGTCCCTTTAATCACCTTAGTGGCCCTTTGTTGCACTCTTCAGTATGTTCACATCTCTTGTAGTGGGGTGCCCAGAACTGAACACAGTAATCCAACTGCCTCTATCTGTACTTCATCTCTAGTTAGTACACCTAGTACAATAGTAACTACACTACAAGTAGCCCTAAAAAAAAAGTTACTCTTGTTTCAGATCCACCTTTTAAGAAAACATAATTAGGTCATCTCAGATAATGGCTAAGAGTAGACTGTACCCTTAAACGTTCTTTTGTTTGGGATAATGAACTATGAAGGAAAGTGCAACAGACAGAAGTTACAATAGAAATTTACCCCACTGAGAAGTTAAAGAAAAAGAGGTAGTTAGACTACAGGGCATAATACAGGTATAAAGCTGTAAAACAAGGTGGCACTAATTTTAAAGAAGAGAACAACAATCTGTCCATTTCTGCTATTTAGTCCATAGTCATGCTAAAATATTCAATATATGCACTTATATTACATCCTGATGATCAAGATACTGAACCCACTACTAACACATCCATAGTGAGTGGAATGCAAATTACTCATTACAAAAGTTATTACATTTTATAGCCTTTGATAAAGAGTCATTATTACCTCTCTAGTTTGAGAAGGCAGGCTATTTTTAGGAATCTTGAAACAATGAACAGTGTCATCAAAACATCTGACAGAAAAGAAGCAACTGTCTGTAGATTTTACCTAAAGTAACATGGAAAAAAGACAACATTAGTATAATGAATCAGTAAGAAAAGACCCAACTGTTGAGAGTGAGCAAGGTAGAGAATTACTCAACTCAGTTTTTGCCTCAGTTTTGATGCAAAGCAACTATAGATTACAAAAAACTTGGTCAGAACAGTTTTGCAAAGTGAGCTGTCATGCACTTAGCTTCTATATTCTCATTCATGATGTAAGGTAAAAAATTTACATTCACATATATTTGTGCCACTTGATTCAGACAAAAAATCTCAGCAACGGTACAAGACCATTAATATAAAGGAATTTGTAGATAAAGAAAAGCAAGAGTTGCTTTTCATATAGTACTGTAGTTTAGCAGAACTTGCAGCTGCAATCTATAGAACTAGGACAGGTTACTTATAGAAGAAAAAGTACTGAAATGATCCTAAATGCATTCTCCTTAAACACTGCATCTTCCTGTGTATTATACACAACACCTGGCTTGTCTTTCCTGTCCTCTGTCCATCCCTTGCAATTAAGGAAGTTTTCCAAAAAGTTGCCTTCAGAATCAATATGCTGATCTCAGTTGGGGAACTGAAGTTACACAATCAGTCACAAGTAGCAAGTGACAGCTACAGGAGGAAACAGAGCTTTGCTATTCTGTATCACACGCTCTGAACACTTGCTTTGCACAACTGAAGAGGCATGCTTTTAGGATGCCTTATGTTTAAATCTTCATGACTTTGGAAAGTAGTGAAGGAACTTGATGGTCACTTTACATGCAAGAATACTTTGTCAGAAACCTGTCAAGAAACAGCACATGCTTTTTTCCTTTTGTATAGCAAAGGCATGCTGACCAATCTAGCTGAAGTTTTCATTGTCTAGGTGTGGAACACCATCACATAAAAAAACCAGCAGTCATTTCACTTCTTACCGTGCAGACAGCTTGTGTTAGATGCTTGCATCCCTGACGATGATCATTATTTACTGCATCAGCTCTTTGAAAGAGAGAGAGATTTAATAAACTGAAGATGAAAATTATTTAAATCGCTTATTAGAAATTTAAAACACAGAACTTACTGTCTCCGATACCAGGAAAGGACTCCATGTTCTAGAACTATCCAGTAGAGTTTCCAGCCAAAAAATCGAGAGCTCTAAAAATTTACAACAAAAACAAAACAAAAAAGGCCAGGTAAGGTTAACAGTTGAAGAGTTACTACTCCCATAAAGTTTGAGAGCTTGAAGGCTATTACATAAAACTGGCAATCATTAGGAAAACATTTTAGGTTTTACATTGTGATCACAGTAACCTGAGAATACTTTACAATTTCAGTGCTATTTTCTTTTTTGGAAATACATGAAGACTGAAGTTTTGTTGAGCCTGCTATTCAGTAAGAACAGAAATATCAAAATGCTGCATTTTTTAACATTACAAGGGTCACTGATCACCACATAATTCTACTTTATAAAATCAAACAAGAAACAAGACACACTGAGATATCAAATTACAACACTTTATCTTTCACAAACTTTAGTACATCATTGTGGTCTAAGAATAGTTCCCTATATTACAATTGTGAGTGAATACATAGGAAAATTTACACTGAAGAAGACTTCAGAGTCTTCAAAGATTTCGTTAAGGAACACAAAAATTAAGCATTCATGTAGAAGACTAATAAAACTTAATTTTAAACAAGGGAAAAAACCAAGATCACTTGAGTGTCAGAACAAAACAAGCTTTAAACAAGTGTTTGACTGGCATCTTCCCTCTAAGTTTTAAAATTTCCAGAAGAAGGTGAACTTGCAGCAAAATATGAGTTATACATTATTAGAGAGCAGGATATCTATTCAGGAAAAAAACCAAAACAACATTTTGCCCACTACATAGTCCGGGCACAAAATCTTACCACAGCAAAGCTTTGCCACAAAATTTACCAAGAAATGAATAGAGGTTTTAGGGACTGAGGTTAAGATTAAAGTGCCATGAATCTGCTAACTGCTCCACTCAGCCAGCCCATCTATAATTCATTAAATATACTAGATTAAAGTCAAGTCATTTAACAAATGTATTATTGAAAAGCTCCCTCATTTATCAACTCTCACTTAAATACAGAAAATTACATACTTCAAGATCATATAAGCAAATAGCTTCTAAAATATAGAACAGGAAATAGAAGACATACCTTCCATAGGAGACCTTCATATCGTCTCAGGGGTTTGTTGATAACCTGCATAGAAATTAAGGCTTATGTAGGCATAGCTTCAACCAGCCTTGGCAAGTGGCATTTTAAAAGGGTACAGAAGTTCCTACCTTTCCAGTTTTACCTCCAAGTATCAGTTTCATTTCTGCACCTTGGGCTAGATCAAGGGGTGTCTGATCTGTTTAGAAACCAAGACAAGGCATGAGAATTTGATGCATATAAACCTAGATGCACTCAACTTAAAAAAGAATCACACTGACACTCTGTTTACCCATTCAAGTTAGGTCCCACAAGCATCTAAGTTTACTTGCAATTGGGGAACATAGGCTCCTCAGGGACAGAAGACTGAAAAGGCTTTGAACTTTGCGGCACTGAACTGCTCTTCAGAGTTCTGCTGGCCACAGAGAAGGCCTTTGCTCTTAAGTTTGGTTTTGCACTTCAGGTATACAGAACAATTCCGAATATTTACAAAAATCAAGACAGAGGCATTTTTAATCAGATGATGACATATGCAGATATCATGCAGACTGTGTATAAGATTTTCCTAGATTTGCTTCCATTAGAGGCCTTCCAAAAAGTCACTTTGTCTGGGCCGCACCTTCAATTTTATCACGGTCTTTGTTACCTGTGTTCAGAGCTTAGCATCAAGAAAAAAAGCCAGGCAAATTTCATGGTTAAGACAGACAGCGGGTAGATTTTCTAAAAATGGGTAAGTTTGGAAAGTAAAAGCATATATAGTAAGTACTTTGCTACAGTTCTTAAGTCTCTTGCAATTTAGTCAGTGTTGGCCTTCCTTTATTAGTGATATTTATTAGTGATAGAAAGCTTGTAAAGCACTGTAAGATTTTCTGTGAACATGGAAGGGTAAGTAACATAGCTTACAGAAGGTGTTAAATTTCTGTCTCCTCTTAACACTTTATGTACTTTCATTTGGTACTCACTATTTTTGTTTCTTATTTTAGGATCTGCTCCGTTTTTTAGAAGTTTCAATGCACAGTGCTTATGGGCACGGTATGCTGCACAGTGCAATGGTGTGTTCCCCATCTGATCTGTACAGTTGATATCAGGTGGTTTGGGCTTGTTCAGCTGGAAAAAAAGCAAAGTTTTGCTTACTTATCAGTTTTCCTCCCTCTCCAGATGCCAGGTTCATTCTTTTCAAAGTTAGTTGTTCCTAACTAGGATACTTCAGTGCAGATCTGGCAACACAGCAGGCACGTTGCTAGTATTATGAGAAGAGCAAGGACTACAACTATCAACCAAGATGTTCAGCTAGAGTAAGGATCTTCTCAGTTTTTTTGTTTGCTATACCCCTTCCACCTCTACTGCATAACGTGGAAACATTTATCCTGCTCAACTGCAGAGCACCAGAGAGTTTCTCAGCACTGCAGTTCAGTCATTTATATTGCTAGAATAGCCCTGTTTGATTCTACTGACAGAATCTACTGTTCTCCATAGAAGACTCCCAAGCACAGTCTGAAAGCACAGGCCAGTGCTAAATCCAGAACAAGTTTGTGTGGCCACCTTGTTTCAAACAGTAAAAACTTTGTACAGAAGGGTGGCAGGCCTGCTAGGCTCAGTGAGAGCTATCCTAGGCCATTTCAAAGCTCCTAGTATAGGCAGTCTGTTATACAAACAGTTTTGCTACATTCTGAAGTCTAACTATTGTGGGACTTTAAGATTAGAGCAGCTATGTAACTGAGGAAAAAAACCTGAGTTTTACTTGGACATGATATAAATGTTCTGAGAAACCGACTTGAAAGAGAAGAGTCATTAAGCATGACACTACTAACTGCCCTAAAATACCTAAAATCCACTTCTACTCAGATATGTGGCTATTGGATAGGGGATGGGCTAGATGATCTTTAAAGGTCCCTTCCAACTGAAACCATTCTATACAATATCAGCCATTATAGTTAAGCTTCCAAGCCAGAGAGGACTGTCCTAATACAAAGGCTAAGTTACTGTTAAGCAGTCTTAGGAGATCAGAGTCACAAGTGCATGACAACAGTTTTAGAGAAACTCAGTTTAAGCCTTCTGCATTAGCTGTAGGCTATCTTAGAGAAATTACTCCATAATAAAAGAATTCCCATGGCAGCAGTTTAAGTTAGCATCAACAGTAACCATATTAAATGTGCTCCAGAAATAGTCCTATAAAGGATAAACTGCTACAGCTGTTATTTACAGTTCAACTGAAAAGAGAACACAAGCCAAAAAAAGACAGCTTGTGGAAGTATGACCTTGTTAATACTGAGGTCAAATACTTGAATTCCTGAGGATTCCTAGGTTTTAGCTCTGACCAGCTGTTTTACATCTGCCTTATCTCTTTCTCTTCTGACTTCTTGCCTCCACACCTTTTAAGCCACATACCTGTGCCTTCAGCAGCTTATACCTCACTGGGAATCAATATTTTGAAGAAAGTTTCATGCATCAACTAATTGAGATAAACAGCTCTCCAGTCATTTCAGTGAATGTGCAGTATGTTTGAGAACTCACAGGAAGAGCACACTGGTTTTGCCTCAAGTAGACCACAAAGCCAGGGTTAAGATTCAGCTACTGAGGGTCCAAGCTTTTAGTAGCTAAACACACTGATCTAGTGAGACTCTTCACAAAAAAGCACAAAAGTCACTACTACCATTTGACTTCAAGAAACTTCAACAGAAGGTGCAGTTATAAAGTTGATATATAAAGTTTATATAAAGTTAAACTGTATGCATGAAAAGGAGAAAAAATGGTCTGAAGTCCAATTAGAAGGTTTAGAGAAACTGCATGGTTAAATTATCTCTTCCAGACAATTGTGTTACTGTATTCAGTACAGTCTTTTTCGGTAAAAATAATTAAGATAAGGGAGAATTAACAATAAAAGCATATCTTTCAAGTAAGTGGCACTCTGTTCCCAAAACAGGGCAGTACAGAACAAATTCTGGTGTGTTAGGTACTACAATAAGAGTAGAGGTAAGCAGCTAAATTTTCATGAGCATAATAGCCTGCTAATTAAAATATATATATATATACTGTAGGAGTAGAAAGGCCTGAAAATCAGTAGGCAAAGTATAAGGAATTCTCAAGATAAAGGGCAGTTCAAAAGAGCTACACAAATTTCCACCCAGGTATCAACCTAAGGGTAGGAAAGTCAAGGAGGTTTACACCATAGAGCTATAAGTGGACAAAGTTCTTTGGACTTCAGGAGTCAACAGGAATTTTAAAATTGTAATTCAGTGGTCACAGGTCCAAGTCCTCACCAAAGGATTCCAAGAAAAACCTGATACAACCCAACTTAAAAACTGCCTCAGGGTCAAAAATGTAACAAGTACTTTGAAAGTTTTAGAGGTCAACATATAGATGTCCTCACATACACAGAGCTCAATTATACTAAATCTAAAGAAAAAAACCACCTAGAAATGAAGATGTTCACAGGAAGAGTTACATGCACATGCATGGTTATATTCCATATGAGAGAAAGCACAGTCCTTTAATGACAGATTTCTATGAGTCGTCACCTTTTCCTAGTTTTTTACACATCAGTTTAAGGCTTAGTCAGCAGGCATGCAGCATCAAATGCAACAAATGTTACAAATTACCAGAATCAAGAACAGTTCACTTATGCCAGTGTATTAGTTACAATTAATACAATCACAACAGTGTATTAATGCACTGTTCTTCCAGATCTTAAGTACTGTGTACAGCTCTGGTTCTCCCTCCATTTCAAAAAGGATAGTACAAAAAGTACACATAAGAACTACAAGGATGACCAAAGATTTAAAAACAGTTTCCATGCAAGGAGACAGAAAGACAAGGCCTCTTCAGACTAGAAGAGGTAAACTTAGAGGATGGAAATAATTTTGAATAGGTGTTCACTCTGGCTTCTAGGCAGAAGAGAATGTCAAATTTCTCAATATACAAATCTCACATTTGTGAATTTTCCATTAGAAGCAAGCAGAAGCATTCAGACTGCTTTGATACCTTACAAGGTATTACTAAAGGTGATAACTAGCTAGAAAGTGTTCCATATTGCATGTCTTACTTACGAGGAAACTCCTCAGGACTCTCAAAATCTTGAGTTCAAGCACTGAGACCCTGCTTCAAAAACCAACTGGATATGGTCCTAGGCAACCTGCTCTAGTCAATTCTGTTCTGCAAACAGGAATTGGACTAGATCATCTCCAGAGGAACCCTCCAGTCTCGATTCTTCTGTGATTTGCTTCTCTGATAGCTTTACCACACCATGGTATTGTTCAGCTTGAATTGCTACGAGCGCACATGCACACATAGTTTTCAAGTCCTGCTTATCACAAAATTGGGTTGTACAGATGGCCATCCATTAAAAACTACAGACTGCAGCTGCAATGGATGCCAACGACAAAAACTAAGCTTTAAAATAGGCCATACCATGGTGAAAACCTGAGCACTCAAGACATTACAGTATCCACAAAAACATAACAAGCTTATGACAGTAGATCTAGAACCATTACACTTCTCTTTACAACTGAAGAGTTTTAACTTGAAAGAGGGTGAAAACCATTGTTTTTGCAGCCTCAAGGAAGGAAACCTGAAAACCCTTGAGGGTTCAGCACCTTAACAACATAATGTGGTGCACATCACTAATATTCTAAAGTCGCAGCACTTTGAAATGCAATGCCTAATGTCACATGCTGTTCCGTTAACATTATGGTTTGAAATACTTGACACAAAACTATTACAAGCACTTGAATTCTTACCAAGGCAGTCAGTTTCCCCGTTTCCCCCTCTCTTGCTGCTCCCAAGAGTTCTTCTTCCCATTTCCTTTCTTGTGTCCTTTCCACTGCTATTAAAAAAAAAGAACAACCAAATTTAAGGTCAGTCTTGATAAAGTAGCAAGCATATATAAAGTACAGCATTCAAGAAAATACACAAAAACAGGCCTAGAGAAATAAGAGTTTCCAGTATTATTTATTTGGGACAGGTATAAACGGAATATTTACTCAGAAAAGTTTGTGTCAGAGCAAAAATATGTTCAAAAACATGTAATACTTGACAAGATGTGTGTATACATATGTATGTATATATTTTTTTAAACACTTACAACCCAACCCCACTCCCTAGTAAAAGGGAAAACAAGGGAACTATGCAGCACCTCCATCAGATCTGCTCTGTGTTATTTATAGTTTCTCTTCTACTATTCCGGTCATCCTACATAAGTTTTATTCTTCACTAACAATCCAGCAGATGAGCAGCAGAAAGGACTGTTATCTGTGCGCTTGCCATATACATATACATACATATACAGTCTGTGGTGTTGAACACAGGACTTCATCAGTATTTATGGACATCACATAATACCAGGAAGCAACACAGCTCTTGAACTCTCCAAAACCACACGCAGTGAGCCTACATAAGTATTTGGACACCATCTCCCTCACTTTCAACACCAGTGAAGCAAAAGAGGAAACAAGGGGAAGGGGTTTTTACTTTTTTTTCCTCTTGACATAACCTCTACGACTGTAATAGCAAGTCCTAAACTTGATCTAAAACTGGGTCACCTTTGCAAATTGTTCAGAATTTTGCTCTTTAATTATTTTGCTGACAAAGTAGCTTACTATGCTTGACTTGAGCTTTTCGTCTTCCAGTGAGCTAAGGCTTTAACTGCCATGTCCCATTCAGAGCTGTAGCAAGGATTACCCCAACAGGACTGAAATAGTTACTTGAATAATGTTATTAGCATTCCTGATACTTAACTCTAAGTCACTTGCAGACATATTGCAAAAAAACCAAAAAACAACCCCAACTATCAGTACTGCAGACAAAAACCAGAAACTATCCTTTTTTTCTTTCTAATAATAAAATTTAAAGAGAAAATTCAGTTGAGCTTCTGTAACTTGCAAGAGAAAAGTCAGCTTTTAGAATGCACAAGTGTTGAGAAAAAAAAGACTGTGACCTATTAAATTTACCTTCCAACATGTTTCTTATGTCTTTATCATGAGTAACTTCTTTTGCAGTCTCTCCACTCCCATTAACAATAGAAGTATCAGCATTATGCTGCAAGAGTAGCATCACCACCTCCTGGAAAACAATTTGAAAAACACTGCTTATCTATCTGTTTTGGCAAGGCCACAATCAGGCTTTCCAGCTATTGACATGCTGTAAGATGAACAGTATAATGCCTTCCCACCACTGCTGACTCACAAAAACAGGAAGGAGTGTTTTAGAGAGATACGAGAGTGGGACTCACTGTACACTGTTCAGCTGTGGCATCTCCAACATAAAAAAAAAAAAAGGAGACATGGACCTGTTAGAGAAGGTCCAGAGGAGAGCCACAATGATGGTCAGAGGGCTGGAGCACCTCCCCGATGAGGACAGATGAGACAATTGGGGTTGTTCAGCCTGGAGAAGAGAAGGCTCCAGGGAGACCTTATAGCAGCCTAACAGTACCTGAAGGGGGCTACAGGAGAGATGGGGAGGGACTCTATCAGGGAGTGTAGTGACAGGACAAGGTGATGGTTATAAGCTGAAAGAGGGCAGATTTAGATTCAATATTTTGAAGACATTTTTTACTGTGAGGGTGGTGAGGCACTGGAACAGGTTGCCCAGGGAAGCTGTGGATGCCCCATCCCTGGAGGTGTTCAAGACCAGGCTGGATGAGGCTTTGAGCAACCTGGGCTAGTGGAGGGTGTCCCTGCCCATGGCAGGGGGGTTGGAACTGGATGATCTTTAAGGTCCTTTCCAACCCAAACCATTCTATGATTATGAAAACCATGGACCAGTCTTCTCCTGTCTACAAAGGTATTTGTACCATGTTTTTGTTTTGGACAGTTATGCCAGCTAGGCAATATGCCTACGTCTTTTCAATGCACTGCACCAAAACAGATAAGTAATTTTTAGACACTGTAACAACATCTTTTTGAAGTTATCTTACTGCTGGTATTTTCTTGCTACTTCTATGATTGAGGCTTAAAAAAATGCAAACATAGTTTACCTTACGTCCTGTGAAAGCTGCACGATGGAGTGGAGTGTCCCCCATGTCATTCAGCACATTCACTTCTGCACCAGCCTAAACAGCAAGACCAAAAGACATCTGAATATCCTTCCAACAAGAACTACATAGCTATTCCCTTTGACTGGGGGAAGGAGGAGGGCAGGACACTAATGCAGGCCTCGTAGCAAATCAGACCAGAACTCTAACACAGCCATCCTTGAAACAAAGATAAAACATGTAAGATTCATAACCAGCCTTCTACAAACCACCTGAAAAAGGAAGCCTCCTGTGTTTTTTTCCAGGCATCTCTCTCACTTTTGAGAAGGTATATAGTGAACAAGTTTAACACAGGGAGTGGGGGTGTTGTTGATTTTAGGGAGTCAGGGTTTTTTTTTGGGGGGGAGGAAGTGTTCAAGAAAAAGAAAAAACACCACAAAACCCCAAACAGCTTACTGAAAGAACTACAATAGTACTGGATAACATACATAGACATTATTACAGATGTACACAGAGTAACACCAGCATCCTGGTGCTCCTGCTTTAACAACTGGCATTCTCTCTGCACACCTATCACTGCTCTTTCACTTGAAGTGAAAAAACTCCCTTTTCTTTTCTACAGTCTTTGTCTTGAATCTCCCTTCCTCTTGTCACACACTTTCTTCATCCCATACGTTTTCTCTGAAATCAAGACTGCTTGCACAGGCATTGTTCCAGGTAACCAAGAACTCCTACACTTCTTTTCTTTAAGCATTCATTCTACACCACTTTAGCTAACCTCTGAAGAGGTCAGAAAGAGGGCAGGACATGTATGACTATCCAATGTTTAGATCGCATAATTTAGCCAGCTTACTGCTGCTTGCCCAAAGTTAACTGATGAACCTGACTCCAGTTCCACAGCTCTGTTTCTGATAATACCTCATGCACACACACTTTGAGCACAAAATCTAGGCACAAGTACACAGACACAAACACATATGCCTAGCTTTCAGGGATGCACATTCTTCTTTATTATTCCACTCATTCTTTAAATAATGCCCTATCAGCAAAGAAGAAAGCACGAAGTTCCACTCTGGAAGTGTTGATAAATGCATTAATTGACAAAACTTTACCTTTTGCTTTAAGTAGCCCTCTTAGATCAAGAGCAGCATGATCTACTGAGCAGGTGTGTAAGCTAGAGAAGAACTCGTCAAAGAAATCTCAACTTTGTTTCCTGCTTTAGTCACAGTTATGGCTGGTAGCATTTATTCTGAGTGAAATTCAAGTTTAGATTAGCTAACTTTGTATTTGAGGCTGTTTAGCATGTTCCTGCCATCTACAGCAAAAACCTTTCAAACAGGAATAGGGTGTAACAGTTAGAATTGGTTGAAGCCACCCTGACAGCTGAGGGTAAAAAAATAAATTCATCCAGAAACAACCACAAATGCAGTGCAGATGTGGCTATGAAGATACAAATAGGTCGGCTTTGACCCGAGTTCCATAATTTCAAAGAAGTTAGAGAGAAATAGTGAGTCAAACTACATTAGCCTGTGCCTGGGAAGAAACACAAGTTACTTTCCACAGAACTCTGGACATACTTCTATGCACAGCATCCAATTAGATAACACAGATTTTTTTACATTTGAAACACTTTAGCCTTTTCTGCAACTCAGCACATGAAATTGCCTAAATTATATAGTATATGTACTACAGTAAGCTAGATCAGGCCTTTGAAACATTTACATTACTAGTATGACATGCTGGCTTACTACATACAGATATCCACTGAGCTTGAAAAGGGCTGAAGCTTTCACAAGGGCATATCTATATACCTTATGTCTTTAATTCCTATATTCAGATGGTTACACAGACAAACACATACTTCATGAGAAAGTTAGCTAAGTACTGATAGCTGTAAACACTGTTCAGACTAAAAGCTTCCTATTACTGTATAGACTTCCAGTGTCACTATTTTGAGTCCCTGCTGATCTTAATACCACAACTATTTCATTCCTTAGTTTTAACAATCAGCTTAGTTATCTCTGTGTTTCATGCAGATAAACTGTAGGAGTGGCTCCACCTCTCTACAAAGCCACCTTTCTTCTACCACAAAAACCTGAAAAAATAGTAACTGCTTCTAGCATAACGAAGAATTTTCTGCCTTATACACAGAGGCAAATAGAAATATACCTTCAGCAAATCCTCTACCACAACAGCATGGCCGAAGTAGCATGCAAGGTGAAGTGGTGTCCAACCCATATTAGATTTACTTCTGCCTAAAAGACAAAACAGGTAAACTAAGTTTCGGTCACACAGTACAAAATAGATCTTGTCACATGTTGGAGGCTGGCACAGATGATCATCATTCACAGTAACAGTGAAGTACGGAGGCTGGAAGCATCAATACTGTTCACATCATCCAAGTTCCTAAATTGGGATGCAGTCTGAGAGCTTTAGATTCAAATCTACAAAAACTTTCAGAAAAGAAGGAAGTCACAGTCTGATGGAGAATAAAACTTTTGTTTTCATGTAATAGCTTGTTCTTGAACAGTAGCAAGAAGCTTCAGTTACTTTCATTCACTATCAAAATAGCACAGTAATTATTAAACTAAAACAGGTGGGATGGCTTAAGGTAGTGTTTTTTGTTTTCTTGTGCTTGTACTCAATTTTACTAAAGACAGCCTTACTAAGTATCATGATTTGAAATCTTTGTGCACGGCAGAACTCATGTACCATCTGCAGCTGCAAGGCTCTCCCAAGAAAAGAAACTATCACTCATGCTTTAAAGAGAGAGCATTTAAAGCATGTCACGGGGGACTGGCTGCATGAATAAAATTCAAGAACTGTCCTACAATCACTTCTTTAGAAGCAAGATATTGAAATTATTAGAGATCACTAATTTAACAACTCATGTTAGTTTCCAATTGCAACACTCAATTGTAATAAAGAAAAGCTAATTTGTGCTTTGTTTTTACCAAGCAACACACCCACAGCATTCTAAGTGCCACCTAAAAGCCTTTTGTATTTGGAAGCAAAACGAAAATGAGGCATTAGAAATAGTCTTGAAGTTACTGCCACCATAAGTTTTCCCTTTTCATGTATCCTCAAGCATTGAAGTCTGGAACATGCATAACTTGAGTTTGCCCTGAGGGGACAAGCCACTAGCACAAGGAAGAAGAAAACTGCTGGTCTTGCAAGTTCATCATTCTTTCTGCTCCCATATTACAAATTAACATTAGAATGTGGTTCATGGCTGAAATATTTTCCCTTTTTTTATAATTGATTCCAGATGACATTTCTGCCCTTTTTCTTTTGTTATTTGGTTTTCTTCCTTCTCCACTCCTGCTGTTGGTTCAACCCCACATTCATTATCTGCCCTTTATCCCAGTCTGGCCCTATGTGACTGATAGGCTCAAATACCACAGAAGATAGATACTGCGTGGATCACTAATTCTGGGGCTATGTATGCTGGATAACGTACTAAATGGACACCACTCATCCCTCAGTCTAGTAGGGAAGAAGGTTCTTTCAAAGAACACACAAGGTTTGAGTTGCACTTAATTCATACAATTAGCCTGAGACAGTCATTAGTTACAGCACAGACAAGACAGTGCTGCTGCCAAGGAATTTGGTCATGGAAAAAAATAATCAGGAACCTGGCCAGATTTGTAGTTCTTACTCAAAGTGCTAGAGGCCCTTGTTTTGCATCCACTCTGAATGTTTGCATTTCTGATGTTAGCTGACCAGTTACTTCTCAAGCCCTTGAGGTGTTTGTTACTTCTCTTCAAGTGACCACAAGTGTTTGCACTTTTTAATTATTATTTTAAACCAGGACATTGTTACACCGGGGAGAATGCAAGGATAGGAAAGTAGAATAAACACAAAGAAATAATTCCCCTAGGCCTCCCTCCCAGTTTTTTGCTTTAATGACAGCTAGCTATAAGTCTCAAGCATTACCATTTGTTTAGAGAATGGAGACAAATTAAGTAGTCATCTGGTTGTGGTCTGTCACCCTACTGTGCCGTCATTCAAATGTATATTTTGACATAGCACACTATTGACCACTGACCTTATTTCAGTTTTCTTACTTTGCAAAGTCCTAGGTATTCTGGTTTTTTGTATTTAAGGAGAATAAGCCAACAAAGACAGCCTTAGAAAATATTATTGCTTTGGATTAAATCCAGTGTTAGTGCTGTTCTAATGTGGATACCTTATTTTGAAAACAGCAAACTGAGAAAACCAGAAATGGAAGTTTACACCATTTGGCTGAATTCTCATCAAGCAAGTCTTGCTTATCTGCAAGTGCTGACTGGCTAGAGTCCAGTGACAACCAAACAAGTAGGAGAAGCCTGGATTTATTTTCTCGCCCTTCACTTTGTCTGAAATTAGGAAGTTTGAGATCACTCTTGTCAGACTTCACGCTTGTGAATCGAGAGCACAGGCTCAGATATAAGCTCACCCTTGGAAAGACAAGACATATTTTACAAGATGTTGAAGGCATGCTTTGACACCCAGGCACATTAATGTGTCAGACTTATGTCTCCCAAGGCATGCTCTGGGCAAAGTTTACACTCCCTCCAGTACAGCCTCCCACCTGCCCCAGAAGTACTTTATTCCAAGCCAGGTGTTATTGCCACATCAGATGCGAGTCCTGAAGGAACTGCTGCAGTATTGCAGACATTCCCCATACCTTGGCTTTCTAGGGATATCTGATTATCCAGAAGGTAATGACAGAAGGACAAGAGTCTGTAGGGAAGAGAAGGAAGATTGAGGGTTGCAAAAAGTCAGTTATAGTCCACAGCCTGTATTTTAGTTAGCCATAATGTGGCTGTGCAATTACTGTCTGGTAGGATTTCACAGATCAGGATTTCTTGCAAGACAGTGGTTTTGGTACTGAGGGGACAGAATGGCAGGGGTAGTTATACTGCAAAGGCTGGCTAGCCTGAATTTGTTTTAGACTATTTCCAACAGGGTACTCTACAGGTGCAAAGTTATTGAAACAATCAGTCTCTGAAGAGTGACTGGGGAAGAACAGAAATTTAACTCTGAAGTTTCACACAACCAGAACAGTTCCCCCAGAAAACACTTTAGTTACACTTCTGTCTCCTCTAACATTTAGAAGAGCCAGAACTTAGAGAACTGATTTCACTGTGTATAGATTCCACATTCAGAACTACTTTGTTTAACCTAAACTACCATCAGCACATTCCCTCTAGCTTCCCAAGACCTCCCATTAGCAAGCATGTATTAGCTGGCTGGCCAGGTACTGCTAAACTAGAAGTCAACAGCTAAACACCATCTTTCCCTTCATTACCCGAGTCTCTTCTGCCTAGCTGCAGACTTTCACAATACTAACACTTGACTTCAAG